GGACCATGAGGATGGCATAGACCTGCAGGAAGACAAACACCATGTCAGAGTATTAGAAGTGTCACCATGATGGGGATTTGGTTTGTAATAAATGCTCTCGTACCTTCCTGATGAAGGTTCGCCTGATGGTCTTGTCATCCCAGACAAACTGAGCCTCCATCTCACTGTAGCCTTGAGGAGGTGATAAAGCAGGAAACATCTTACTTCACATAAAGTCATGTTCAACATGTGTGATGTCCACTCACAACTTAACACTCGATTAAAGAGCTATATGAATCATTATCAAGAGTGAAAATTGAAAAGATTTCCTTTTTCACTTATTCCAATTATTCACCAGTATTTCTATTCAAACGTTGAAACATGATTGAACAGTCATTTGCTGTGTGCAGTCCAGACATCAACACAGAGCTTAACGACATCAGTAAGCCAACACATCTTTAGTTTAATGGAATGTATAATGGTCAACCAAAAAGAGTTAGAGAGAGAGTTATTTACCTGTTGTCGCCTCCTGATATGTTGGGGGCTCATTGTCATTCATCACCTGCTGGGTTAAAACCAGTATCTAATCAATCATCATAATTCTTTCCATTCCATAAAAAAAAAAATTAGAAACAAATCATGTTTACTGTTTCACACAAGAAACAGCCGACTGGTGGTTTCCCTTTCACCAAAATATACTGCTGTTAAAGCTGCCTGTACACACTGGCAGATTTTTCTACAAAACTACCTCTATGTTTCATTAGTTCGAAGGATTAGGATGGATGTGATGGTCCTCCATCTTTTCGTAGTTACTGCAGATAAATACGATCCAGAGAAACCGATGTTTATTAAATATGATTCTTCACATTTATTGAAAAGAAAAAATGTAATTGCCATCTTTTGTTTGATGATTTTGCCCTTCTGTTATGAGATGGTCTGTGTGGTCTTTAATATTTTTTAATTCATTTTGTATTCAAGCTCAAGGAACAGACAGAAAATAAAACATGAAATTGTATGAATCTTTGAAAATGATCAATACAAAAGTGAAACCACAAAGCAGGAAAGTAAAAAACATACCTTTCCCTTTTTCATGATTATTCCCTTTTTTTTCCACTTGTGACGTTGACGATGAAGAAGACTCTTCTTCAATCACAGGTCAAATATAACCTTGTAGTTCTGTAAATCCAGTGTTTATAGGACAAAATGAGCTAGTCTTCTTTTGTTAAACAGGGTTCTGGTGGTAGGAAGCACTGCGAGCATGAAATGTTGTCTGTAGCATTGATGAATTTATCTCCCGCATGCGGATTACTGTGAAGCTTTAAAGGCCTCCATGTGGTTAATCTCTTTCTAACCCTGATCCCAGGCCACCCCTATCATTGGTCTAACAAGGACATTCCAGAAAAGTCCAGGTAGTCTAAAAGACTGAGATGAAACCAGACCATACCACTGCTGTTGCTAAATGTGGGTGTTGTTCATGTCTCTCTTGAATGGCGCAGACCCCTTCAACAGTGTTTCAGGACAGTTAATCATATTAGTACCAACCAGAATGACTCAATGCACTTACATACCTGAATTACATGTGCATTACACAAGTGTTTTGCTCCACTTCGGGGGGGCTAAGACATGTAAAGGATATTTAATAATCAGCATTTCTCTATTAATATTGTGAAGTTTTCCATTACAAATATAAAAACAAACAAACTCTGCACATGTTCACTGACAACGTGGCTTCATAGTATTATCAAAAGAGCCTATGGTGGTTAACTTTTGAGCTCCAGCAAGTCAAATCTGTCATCACGTTTTTTTTGCCTTTGACCATTCTCGTAAATATTCATATGAATAAATTGAAACAAAACAACATTGGACTTGAATTGTATTCATTTGTACTTGAATAATGTGGCTACACCACAGTAATCTGATGAATGTATGACATCATGTTTTTCTTTTTTGTGTAAGAGACTGGCTTTGTAACAGGTGAATCAGACTAATGAGATTAAAGTTAAGAACATTACGGAGCACACACATAACCTGAAATAATGAGATTTACTGAAAGCACCCACCTTTGATCTACATATTCATTTAAGCGTTCTCTGCTGCACCAAGAGGTCAATTTGGGAAATGGGACCCTAAGGAAACCGGATTCATTTGTCTCAATACAGAGTTTAAAATACGGGTCCAAATAGAAAAACACTGTCCACATTTCAGGGTTTTAATAAGCTTCTTCATCATTCTGAGACCATAAACAACACAATTAGGATGAATGACATCATGTCAGGTTAGGAATGTGGTGCAAACATTACAGTTTGCCAGAGGGTGTTAATGGCTGAATATAAAGCTTCTGACCAGAGCGCTTCAATGGCAACGCACGCAACTGGAAAATAATCGTTTACCACATCAAAAAACATTTTCTACATTTGATAATTATTAATGACGTTCACATAAGCCCTTAATGGAATTTAAAGTTCAGACAAAGTAAAATGGAGAGAGTATAGGCTACTAATACTTCAAGTTTGAAGCAGCATACCTGCAGATTTGCTTTGATCGACAGATTGCTGCTGTTAGCTGACTGACAGGTGTATCCTCAGTTCAGTCACTTTAACTTAACTTCTTTGCCATGTTTGTGTTGAAAGAGATGGAAAGAGAAATTAGAATGAGATCCAGGAGAAGACACAAACATAAAGTTACAAAGAAAGGAAAAGATCCAGCGAACAGGGAAAATAATTAAATTTCTAAGCATGATGAGTACTATTTCTGTAAGGATGAGATTAATTCTTATAAGTAACTGTGCTGCTGAGACACAAAGTCAGTCTGAAAGGATTTCAAATGGTTGTGGATGCGGTGAAAACGTTTTTAGACATTGTGTATAACTGGAGAGAAAGTGCAGGGGCTGCTGAAAGAGGCCTTCAGGCTTTTTCAGAGTCTAGACTGAGGAGCAATGTTGGAGAATGGATTGAGGAGTAGAGGGATTGTTTTTAAACTTTGAAATATATTTTATTTCAGTTATTGTTTTCGAAGTTTAAAAAAACCTGTAGTATTACAATAAATCCTGATGTCGGCGGTAATGCAACTCTTTGGATGCGAACTGCCTTTAAAAGCCAAAGAAGAAGAAGACGAAGTAACCTAGATATGTTTGTATTGTAGACTGTGCCTTTTGGAGTGTCCTTTATGAACATATTGAACAGATAATGTGATAGTAGTCGGCCCAAGAAGCATGCGTTTCAGTTGCATGTAGCCTATATCAGTGTGCGTGCCCAACTCTCAGGAGAGAACATCCTCTCCTACGATGACCGCAGGAAGACGCAACTCAATGATTAATATGACAGCCGTGTTCTATCCAGGTCCTATGTCACTTCGCCTATTTAGGACTATAGGTCATACAAACCAACCAGGAAGAAAATAATGACCAAAAAAAATGGACACTTACTATTTCAACGACTGAAGTTAGACAACAACATTTAAAGGGTCCGATTCTACACAGTACCATCACCTCAGTGCTTTACGCTTGTCGCCACAAGGTGGCATCAGCAGATAAGAATACATTGTTAAGATAATGATTCAAAGGGAATTTGTGCCAGACATAGGCAATAATGTTGTCACTTACCTTAATTATTTGCCTTTGTTCTTAGGGAGGTATAGTAGACATTTGCAGCACAGCGAAAAGACTATAGCAACTTACAATATAACACTTTGACTTGTGACAGTGGAGTGAGATGATGGTTTGCCACAACACTTTAGTTACACGATGGCTACTTCTAAATTCCAACTTTACAGTCTCGTCCACCATTTTAAAAAGGTAGACATAAAGAATGTTACACCTTTTTTTCTTATTTGCAAACTCTATCTGCAGCAGCCTAAATGTGACATGGCCGAATGTCTCAGACCAGCTGCTTTTAGAGATGTGAGCTGACATTATGTTTCTCATACAGTGATTTCAATTTCCTTGGTCCATGTCGAAGTCCTTTTTTCATGTGATTAAATGTACCACAGAGGTACATGCATTTGTCTGTGTTGTTTTTAGTCATGGTATAAGTGATTTTTGCGGACATTTTTGTCTTTCTGTCTACTTAAACATAATGTCATGGCAAAAATGAGTTCATGTTGTTATATTTATGTCCAGCAGGTGGCACGTAAAGACCACTGCACATTTTATAGAAATTACTAGAACAGTCGCATCTACTGCAGAGACTGTTTTTTTTTTCTGTACTTAGTTTGAAAAAAAATAGAGGTCAGGGGGTGGCTTTTGGTTGATACTAATTTACATCCCTTATCATATAGAGATATGCAGAAAACATTTGCCTTTTGCGAGGGCTTTTTTTTTCTTTTCTTTTTTAAAAACTTTTAAGCGAATTCTGAATTAAAGCATACATAGCCTATCATTTTAAATATGCGAGAATAATCTCCTGAATTTTTTAAGTTAATGTATGGAAGAGGCCGGGGCTGTCAATCACTACAGTAGAACCTTTAAGAGAGTAATCATTTTAGCTTGAATCCTTACTTTCTTCTGTACATTTTAGAGTAAATATTCTCTGCTGGCAGCATTTAGTTAAAGAATACCAGTGTATGAGTAAAAATAGATTTATGAAGAGTCAGAGTTGCTTTTTTTGGAAAATGTTCCTAAACATTAGAACAAGTTTGTCTCCCCAGATCATAGCCTGAAGTGACAACAGTGGTGGTGGCTTCCCCTTGTGTCGTCTTGAATACTGACTATTCATCTCTGGAGCATTTCCATGCTTACGTCTCTAAATAACCTCCAGTTCATGTGTGTTTCACTGAACATGGCTGCTTTGTTGGCTTCATTCTGGAGTTGTAAAAGAACGTAACTTTCTTGAGTGATTCTCATTGAAATTACATGTATTTGCTAGCACACACTCAAAAATCAAGTGGTGTTTGTTATGAAGCATCCAATTGTTCTCCACCTTGGAGCACTATTGACTGATAGCTGCTGTTGCTAAGCTACAGCAATACTGTTGGTAGAATCACATTAGGAGGAAAGCTTAAAAAAAAATAGAGCACAAGGAAAATGCTTTATGATGTTATTTAATAATAGTACTCTATGGTGTCACCATAAAACATTTACAAAATATTCACAAGGTGATACACTCAGTTGACAATACATATATCTCAATTATATATCTTCAAATAAAAAGTTTGTACTTGGAGCGCACAATTCAAATGCTGCTTTCTCTTTGCAGTCTGTATAGCAGTCTATTAGTCAAGATATTATACAATGTATCAACACAAACTTCATTTACATATTTTATAATCTGTAAACTAACAAGAACAATAAAAGTAATGTACAAAATTTACAATATCACACCTTAACACATAACCCCTCATACATGGTCTAAAATGACCAATAATTTCTCCCTGATTATCGCATACAAATACAATGCAGCTTACTCTCATTTCTTAAAAATGTTATTCACTTCTCAATCACGTATGATTTTTATAAAGATTTCCCACATGGTGAAATTTTGTGAGAATAGCTTATATCATTTTAACAGGGCATACACATCTTCCCAACTGCTTGTCATACATTTCTATTGCTATGTATATATGGACTTAAGAGGTATGGAAAAAGTGCCCTTTGCACAATATAGCATGGATTTAGTTTTTATAAATGGTAGTTGGTGAATGTTTGTACATGTTCCTGTTTCTCTGGGCAGGCATATGTGCTTCCCACTATTAGCCCTTGTGAGCCAGGAGAGGAGTATAAAGTCTGGTGAGGAACAGCAGGCTCATTCTTCTTTTTGGTCTCCAGAACAAAAATACTGACAACTATGACTTGGTGGTCTCATGTTCACTTGAGAAACCCGAGGAAGAACACAGTCCAGGTTGTTGTTAGGCAATCCTGAAGGAAGAATCAGTTTGAGTTCAGGAGCCCGCACCTTCCTGCCGTCCTTCACCGATTTCTTTATCAAGATGATCGCTCTCTTTTGTAGCATCGGACTTAGCATGGCCCCCGCAACAACTGTCCATCATGCATAGGCCAGTGTGCTCGATGTGGCAGGCCAGGCTTGCATGGGGAGGTCCCCAAAGCAAGATACCTCAGTTAGCTTAAGCTCTTTGAGCTCAAGGATCTATGCGGAAAGCTAAAAGCTTGTCAGAGTGGTGGTTGTTCAAGGTGCGCAGGTCTGGCAGACGTAGCAGCAGCTTTGGGAAGAGAGTGCTGTCATCTGGGCGACGACTGGTGATGAGAGAGCGAAGAGCTTTTATAAGATTCTCCTGCAACTGCTCCACTGCGCCAACCTCGACTATACCAGAGCGATCTGGAGAAAGGAAGGGGAAATTCAAGTTAGGCACAAGGCATAGTGTGACTACTGTATTTGCTTGTTTGTTACATGTATAATTATGTGTCTTACCAGCAGAAACGAGCACGACAGCCATGAAAAGGGCCATCTCATCTGGCTCCAACACATTGATCCGAGCTTCTCGCTGAATTCAAACATTGCGTCCAATAAGGAGCCCATTCCAAGAGCCCTCAGCGATGCTAGGGAGTATGTCTGCCCGTTGAGGAATGTCACTGTCCTCTCCTTGGGATCAAATAGTGAGCAGAACCTCACCATCAAAACCTGTGGACACAACAAGAGTCAAGTCAAGATCATGTCATGCATACTGTAACAGGATAAAAAGTCAAGAAAATCTCCCAAGTTCCCACCAACAAATTTAACTGGTCGTACCTGGAACGTGCCGGATTTGAGTAGCATGACCTGATCATGCTGGCTTAGGTTCTGGAAGCCTGGGATGCTCTTTGCAAACTCCACAACCTCTTTAACAGCAGGAGTGAAGCATTGGGAGAAAGACTCCCACACCTCTTGACTTGAGCGACTGGCGGGGGCCACTGGACAGGAATTGAGTGGACACGCCTGAAGAGGAGGGGGAGAGAAAATTAGTGTCATGGACTTTTCATTGACAGTCAATAGATGTTCAGATGTTCTGGATATGAAAAAAAAGGTCTCACCAGAACTTTGGCTCCTCCGTTCAGCTTCCAGGGGCAGGGACTTTGGTTCTGGGAATCTCTGGCAATGTAGCTGCTGTGATTGGCTGAGTAGGCCTGAGATGATTGACTGCCACTAAAGGGGCACTGGTTCTGATTGGAAGAGAAGTTGTACTTGGAGTTGTCCATATTGGTGTTGTTGGAGTTCCTGTTGTTGTTGGGTGCGATGGGGCAGGTTGTGGCGACGTGGTAGCTTGATGTGATGTTAGCCTGCTCTGCCCGAGCGGTGTGCTGCGTCTGGGTTGCCGAGTGCGTCATGGAAGCTTCTTGCACCTGACTGTTGTGAAATGAGGAAATGCCTACGTTGCTGCTGACAGCTGCCATCTTGGGTGGGTCATCTTCAGTTTTAATGAAGTGATTGCGGTAAGACTGTGATATGGAGCCTGCTCCATCATTTGTCTGATTTTGCGGACTGCAGGGGGCGTCGGACGGAGATGACACCTCCATGTCCATGGAAGCTGATTCGTTGAGACTGTTCATGTAGCTTTGCATCTCATCCAAGAGTCGCTGCTTCTCCCGTTTGGGAATACGCCCAAAACGCACAGCTGAGGGACAACAGAAGAGAGAATCCTCTGTTAGCAATTGATGGCATTGAGCATTGATATCACTGCCAGATTCTTATTGCCAGAGATACAGAATAACACTTAGACATTTCAACAATCCAGAGAAACAACCACCTCTTTTATATTGTTACAACTGACAATCGAGCAGTAATCTCTATGAGGATTACTAATCCAGAGACCTCTATACTGTCTCTGACTATATTCTGTCCATCACAGTTTCAACACGATACAGACACTCTAGCCTTCATCTCATCTGATGTCCGCATCCTCCTCTTCTCTAACCTTTACAATCCTCCCTTCCCCCCCCTTTCAATACTGCACCTCCACCGACAGCGCTATTTATAGTCCGCTGTATGCTACACCTCCTCCCCCATCTCTCTCTCTCTCTCTCTTTCTGTCTTCATGTTGAGAGCTCGCTTTCTCTCTTCTAAGTGAAAGTAGGTCACTGGGTCGACCGCACTGAACAAGATGTCATTAGAAAAGTAACAAAGTGAGAAGTGGAAAGGTCAAAAAGAAAAGAGAGGCAGGTGGGAGAGATGAAAGGAAGGGAAAAGATTGGATGATACAAGATGTACCCGTGCTCACCGACCATGTTGTCAAATCAAAATGTGTGAATATAAAAAGTGGCTTTCTGAGTTTGTATCAGTTTTATTGTCGGCTTAGGTAGAACATTCCTTTTATAGCCTTACTTTCATTTTGTGCACATTCAGAAAATTAAAACATGTAAAAAGTAGGCCTCCTGTGATCATATAAATTAGCAGGTGATTTTTCATTCCCATATTTTGGCTTTTTTGGGTCAGCTGAAAGTGTTTGCTCCATAAAACCCATGATTTATTATCACCTAGTTTAGTCACATCCCGAGAGATAAGAGTCCTGCGGTGAACAAAAGCAGTAGAGCTGATTAAGTGTAGCAATTATATTTAAATTTTCAGCTCAAGCTCTCTAGGTTTTGGTTTTTAACATGACGGAATAACATTTTTGTTTGTTAATGTCAGCACTGACAAAAAATAGTAAGGGCAGTACGTCACATCTTGGTGAGCACATGGGGTAATCAACAACTTGCTGTGCCCCAATTTCCTAAAATAAACTATTTTTGTCGCAGTTTCTCCATGACTGATGACTGCTGGGATTTCAAATGTGCTCTTCCCATAAATCAGACAGCGTGCACGGAGGGAGGGAGGTGGAAGGGACAAAAAGGCGAAAGGAGGAGAATGCAGACAGAAGGATGAAAGATAGTTTTAAGATAAGGTGAGAGACCGGAGTAGAAATGTTTGTATTATAAACATGCAATAGATATAATTAAATGTATGTTAAATAATAACTACTCTTAAAAACCCTGTTTATGTGGCCCCATGAAAACCCTAACTCTTCACTATAAAAAAAAAAATCATTCAATTGTAGTCATATATGAGTAAATATTTTGTTAGAGGAAATAGTCTCTCACCATCTCTGGACATGCCCACGGAGAGACACTTCTTAAAGCGGCAGTGCTGGCAACGGTTTCGGTTCATGCGCATGATTATGCACTTCTCATTCTTCACACACATCTTGTAGTGGATATTCTGCTGAATGCTGCGTCGGAAGAAACCCTGGAGGAGGCACAAAAGAAAAAAAAAGAGTTTGAAGAGTGTCTTAAGTGTCAATGTGTATGTTCTTGAAGCTACTGAGACATTTTGACACTTAGAGACATGATAATGCTTCGTTTGCTCACCTTGCAGCCTTCGCACGCATGCACACCGTAGTGGAACCCAGATGCAATGTCTCCACACACCTTGCACAGAAGCACCATACCTCCGGTTTCTATGAAAGAAGTATATAATCATCATCAGAGAGGAACACAATAAGAAAGTACCTGCAGGTAAACATGGAGGGTAACAGGACAGAAGGAAGTGAGGGGTACTTACTGGTAAACGTGCCGGTGAAACCACAAGGTCTTTTGGCCACTGTGGGATGGCTGTAGGTTGCAGACGATACGGTGGTTACTTGGGCAACAGGGGCATTGTTTACTTCAGGAAACTGGAAGACCATTCTTGGGGAAGGACTTCCTCCGTCCTGTTCCCCTCTCCTCTTCAGGGGCCCGATCTCCTGAAAGGAGTTGCTCTCTGGCGATGAAGGCTGCGAGTGGGAGGAGGGCGATTGAGTTTGGTATCCACTTGAAGGGCTGCCAGGGCTAGGGCTGGCACTGCCGGATGAGCCAGCATACAAGATAACACCACCTGGAGAAACAGAGAGGGGCAAGAACTTAGTTTTCCATCTCTATGTAGGTCAGTGCTCACATGTGAGTAAGAGTGTTGAGCAATGCTCTACTTTGATTCAGTGAGCCTACTTGGCAGACGTTAACGAACACACACATAACCCTGATCATGTTTGGATAACAGATATTTGATCTGATGAATTATTTAGAAAAAAATGCCAGCTACAGAAACAAAAGCTCTGACCTGGATAACTGGATACAGGCTGTGTATGCCAATGGGCTAGTTGCCAGTTGAAGAGTTCTAAGTGAATTAAAAAACTAAAAACACAAAGACCAGGCAAGATGCACCTACAGTACACCAAGGATTGTATAAATTGTATGATCTGATGATAGATTGTCTGAAATCTGAAATACAAACCTCTAATATTGCATTGTTACAAAAAAGTATTTCTGGATATTTATTAATTACAAATCTACATGATATGGCATAAAATGCCTATCATAATATGTCAGTGAGTCAGGCAATAACAAGCCTTTGTTTAGGGCTGTCACATCAAGTCGGAAATGCCTTATTACCCTGCAACACACCGCCCACTCCCCCCTTGTTGTGATGACAGTATTGTTCCCTTTCAAAATGAAAGACTGCCCCTCACGTGCAGGCAGAGCCAGCCAGCTGCCTCCCTGTTTGCTTTCAGTATCGAGATTTTACTCCTCTCCCTCCTCCCCTTCTTTTCTATCCTCCTCCCCTCCTACCTCTACTTCCCTCCCTTCCTCCCTCCCCTCTCTGGCTGCGGGCCTGCAGACCCATCTATCCGCCAGCCACCTGACCGGGAGCTCACATGGACTCTTGACACAGTTCCCGCCCGGCTCACAAGGCTCTTTGCGCAGTCCCGTGTAGACAACAGCAGCAGTACAATAACAAGCGCTGGGGCTGATCACGTTTGGACTAGAGAGCTGCTTTAATGCTGTGACTACAGATCTAGAGGAAAGCAAGCATCACACAGTTACCTCTGCATTCCACAATAGAATTGTCTAGAGGGTCACAGTTATTTGTTGTTAGCATTTTTATGTATTTGTTTTATATAATTAAAAAATATTTAAAATTAATTTTTCCACTTTTTATGGCTTGCAATTGCAAGCCATATTCATGACACATATTAATATATCTCTGCTTATTTAGGTCCCCTCGTCTTCATTTTAAAATATGCCCTCCTTTTATTTGCTATCAGATCACTGTGTCAGGTATCCAAATACTGGAGCACAATTGCCTGCCAACCAAGATGATTCCCATAAGAAGAAACCGTCTGCAAGCATCACTATCTTCATTTAGAACCAGGGCTTGTAACCCAATGATAACAACTGCTCCTTTAGGGTTTCTATTGGACAGATAATGACAGATAAGTAATTGAGCAGTTAACCTTGGTTACACGGCTGCACTAAGTAAAGTAAATGAACTGTAGTTTCATGTATCATCTCCAACAATACCCTTGAACTTCTCACTCTGTCATTCTGTGCACTTTTCCTCTAGAGGACATTGACTCATCTAAGAAAAAAGCCTCCCTTGGCTCTTGTGCTTTCTCTCCTTGAGAAAACACGTGCTGTCTGACTGATTAGCTTTAAGTGCCTCCTTAATTCCACTGCTCACACGTGTCAACACTGAATGCGAGGTACTCTAAGCTGAGCTTGTGTGTGGTGTCAGACAGTGACTTCAGTTGACATACAAATGTTGCATGTGCAAGTTTCTGGTGTGTTTCTTGGAGGATGATAAAGCTTTATGTGCACATGTGCATCACCTGCAGAGGGAAAGGGTCACACCCTACTTGCCACATGAACTCCACAACCACTGTCTAGTTTAACATGCTCCGCCCCCGTGGCATAAAAACATTCCATGTTATTTCTCTCGTAACCATTTCCTGGAATCTGGTGTGACTGGATGCCAGAATGAGCACAGGTTATAACATGTGACCTGTGGATACTCACAGGGCCATAAGAGCCCCAGCATAAACAAAACACTCCTACGCTCCTCCTTTTTTGCCATGATGCCTTTATGTCTCTGCAGGCATGCATGGCAAGGAAACTATAGACAACATGCTCAAATAATCTCTGGGGCGGAGACAGCCCCCTGAACTCCAGTTAGTCTGCACTCTTTCATGTTAACATCAACTGTACATACACGTGAAACAGCTGGCCGCATGTCATGTGTATTTTCTAAAGGGCTTTTCAGGAGCAATTTATGTCACATGAACCTCCAATGATCTTTATTCTTGCTAAACATTAATGATTCCATTGCATGTTGTTCCACTTTGGACTTGTGTTTCAAAGGTTTACAAACAAGTATTGTAGGTTCACCAACACATGAAAGACTAGATGAAGAAGACAATTACACTCAATCCTTGGATAGTAACGCTATCTGTCAGCTTTTAATATGAATTAACTATGTGTGTGGGAATCTGGTTTCAGGATTGACACAAGAGCCCAACATTAAGCTCAGTGTTTCTGTTGGCAAGAAAGACATGTGACACACTGATCTACTTGAACAAACTTAATATTTTATACACTAATATAAATGTAACAGGGGATTCAATTCTGGCTAAATGAAAACAAAGTGTTCTGATGATCTTTTGATAATTTCTGGTCAGGCTATAATTTTAGGTCACAAGGTCAACTCTGAAAACTGTAGGTTATATTAGACTTTCTTCATGAATGTATGTACAATGTACACTAATCATACTCTACAATGACTCCAAATGTTTTTTGGGGGACCTGGCATGAAACCATAAAAAACATGAGCCAATCCTTCCAAAAACATGTTCAAGAATAAAATAAAACTTCAACTTTACCACCCCTTACAGAAACTGTGGTGGTCTATGAGCACAATAAACTAGTGTTATCCCGCAGAACAGTTTGCCATATGTAGGTTATTTCGTCGCCCACACACCGAACCGTAATAGTTCAAGCTTAAAAAAGCCAAATTAAGCATTTTAAACCTGTTATAGTTACCAGAACAAGGTGAAATACTGCTAAACCTCTCTGACCCACTGACCATCTATCCACAAATAAAGAGGAATCCCCGTGCGAGCTCAGATCGAGCGGAGTACACGCGGCGGAGGGGAGCGAGCGCGCGGGGCGGGGTTGCTAGGGAATCAAGCGCAGCACGTGGAAACAGAGGCAGTGTACACGTGCTGTCAGCTCGAGGCGGGGTAACTGCGTATTAAAAATCAGGCGCATGATTCATCACGACGGATACTACCCAGGGTGCACTGGGTGGGAAACAGATGAAAAGATCTGACAAACACACTATAGTAACTCGCAGTTCAAGGACATTTTAATGTCTCGACCATCTGAATATAGGCTAATTTAATTGTAAGATGTATAAAGTGTTGGCCTCTTGTAGTCTTATGTATTATATCTACATATTGCACCAAATTACATGCTATAATATGGAAGCCTATTCATTTCAAATGTTCATCGCTGTCGACCTTTGAGATTATGTTACCCTACTTTAAACAGGCCTAAAGTGGGCTATTGTATGACTGGTTCGCTCAATGAACATTCACACATGTAAAGATTCACTGCCACACCTGTAAGCAACAGCATGTAATCTGTAACTGAGCCACTAAATTATCTGTAAATGTTTCTCCTTTTGTGTGTGTGTGTGTGTGTGTGTGTGTGTGTGTGTGCCTATAACGTGCTGGACTAGAAGTGGATGTTTAATCAGAACAGTGTTTCTTCCGGTCATTGCCAGTAGTCATGGATGAATAGCTTGGCACAGGTGACTTCCTTTGACCTAGTGGGCGTTGACTGCTCCTTGACATAGCTACTCACATGTGTTTGAGCAAGGAAAAAAAAAAAGAAAAAAGTTGCCCCTCAGCCAATGATATTATAAACTGCCAAGTTCAGTGACTCACGCTACAAAAAGGAAACTACACCACACAACTTCCCGTACATGCCTCAGTCCCATACGATTCAAGGGAACAGCTGCCTCTGAATTTGAGCACATTATTAAGAGTGACGTTCAATAACACAAGAATAAGGGCCATAAAAGATAGGTTAAGTGGGCCTCAAGACAACGTGCCCGGTCTTGGGGAGTTTGTTTACATGCGGGGAATCGGAAGTCCACGACAAAGATTGACGAGAGAGGACTCCCCCCCCTCCTCCTCCTCCTCCTCCGTGCTCAGCTCCACTCACTCCAAACTCTCCCTTGTCTGAATCCCAAAAGCTTTTTGGCAACACGCCAGATGTTACACAGCAGAATTACTCTTTAATAGCATGTCATTTTATACCCCAAATTATAGGATCACATCTAAGCTGGAAACTAACAGAGAGGCTACCCAAAGCAGCACATTACGTTGAAAACACAGCATCTCCAGCACTTTATGTATGATAAATGTCATGCCAAGGTGCATAGGCTAAATGTGTTCTTTCTGCGATTTAAATACATTATTGTTTTAATTCATTCATTCATTGAAACAAGAAGCAATCTAAAAAAATAAAAATAAAATCTCAAGGCACTCATTTCTATAAAACAATTTATATATCTGGTAACATGTTGAATGAATACATTTGAATTCAACTATTCATGTTTTGTCTATTGTTCAGTGTAGAGAGATGCAATATCATATCTCTTGTCATAATGCACCAGTGTCTGCATTTTTTTTTTTTTTCACATGACCGTAATTTGAAACATAATTCAAGAAAAAATTAAATCTTACTCACCACCAGGACTGTGCTCCATGATTCCTAGAAGATCGTTGTTGTTCTGTTGTTCCGTGCTGTTTAATTCTGGAAGCTTAACACTGGAATGATTGCCTTTGCTTGACACCTAGGAGTTTCGTTGATATAGGTGAAAGAATCGCGAACTGCCAAGGCATGAAGAGCGTATCCAAAAACTTAAACAAGCAGGAGTGTGCACAGGGCATTTGGGGGTCTTGAGATAACCCAGTAAGCGAAAGAAGAACAATATATTTTTTAAAAGGAATTGGAACAGGTCTCGGTTTGATCCAAATATCTTCCAAGGGTGAGTAGATGCACAGGGCAGATCAGCTCTCCGTCAATGCTCCGAAAGATGCCTAATGTTCAGATATCACTGAGCAGGGGTTCTCTAAATTACAAGAGGTCCCAAAGCATCCAACTGCTTGCCATGTACAGTCAACATTAAATCATGAACAGAGTGGAAGTACTTTAAACACTCCCCACTCATCAATAAGCAACACGCGTCTCAAAATAGCCAGCACGTTTTCAGGTGCCTGAGAAATGTGACCAGTTTTTTTTTTCTGCTCTCTTTTTGTGTGTCCCGTCAACCGCCTGTTTGTTGATGTGTGTTAGGGATGTCTCCCGCCCTCTCTCCCCCCTCCCTCTCTCTTTCTGTCACGCTCTCTGAAAACATTTCACCCACCTCCTTTCTTCATGCCCCCACTCTTTTTACTCTTTCGCACTTTTTCATTGGCTGAGAGCCCCGCGTGGAGAGGGCACATTGGAATGCTGGTTAAAGCTCTACAGCATGTGCGCATGGCATGTGAGCTCACGCTGCCCTACTGACACACATTTTATGCTAATGAGCTGCCTGGGCTCGGCGATAACACAAAGATGAAGGAGAGAGAGGAGGGAGGTCTCACTCCTGCTTTGTTTCCCGTGTTCACTTCATGTTAATGCAGTTATTTTCGATTCGGTTCAAACTGGCTTTATTGGCAAGGGAAACATCCGTTTACATTGCCAGAAGCATGTGCAAATAAACACAAGTTTATTTATAGGCTATAGCACATTTCAGCAACAAGGCCATTCAAAGTGCTTCATACAAGACATCAGACGCACCATGACAAAGGGAAAAATAAAAGTTAAAATAGACAAGTAAAAAAAATCACTAAAACATACCATTTACAATCACAGAGAAGATTAAATATGGAAATATGTGAAATCAAATAAACAAAATAAGATCTAGAAGAAATAAATTGACATTAAGGGGAAATAAGAAATCAAAATATATATACACTAATTTGTTATAGAGAATTGTGTTATGTCTGTACAATAACATAATACGAGAAAATTAAACTTTAAAAACAGAGCTGCGCAGGATCGCAGTATTATAATAGTAAATGTTCATAAAAACAGTTAAACTAATGAATATAAAATGAAAATGGTTCGTTTGCTCTTAAAATGTATACTTGAAAGTATTGAACTTAAGATTAAAATACAAAAATGTAAAAAGAAAGTATTTTTACAAGCCCATGTTGTTTGTATTCAGAGATTAATAGTGTAGCTGATCGGTGTAGTACCCAGATGATTAGACAGTATTGTTCATCATGGTGGTTTTGTGCGATGGGAGTACATAATGTGTTGCACATTGCTGTGCTTCATCCAGTAGGTATGGACATTTTGGTCATTGCTCATGTTGTCTAACTCTTTTTCTATGTTTGTGATTAGTGTGACGTATAGGTCTCTGCTGTCCTGGTACAGTGGACAGGTTATTAAAAAAGTATAGCTCTATTTCCACCTCCTGTTGAGCACAGTGGGCGCTCAGTCTGTCCTCTTTAGGAAGCCAGATCTGTTTAAAGCAGCCTCTCTAAATGGTAAGGCTGTTCTCACAAAAAGTCTGTAAATATTCAAAGATTTCATCTGTGTTTAATCAGTCACAGTGCTCAAATATTCTGCCACTGTATAATCTCAATTTAGGGACAAATAACAAGCTAATTTGATTTTTTTGGTTGATTCTTTCCAGCGTGTTAAATAGTTAGCTTTTTTTTTGTAGTTTTATGATTTGGTTTAGTCTATGCTGGTTTTTGTCTGGGACAGAACCAGCTAGCTGAGGGCAGAGCTCTCTACAGTCTGTCTGCAGGTGAGGGCTTTGGTATGGAGTATGGCGGGGTCACTGTCTTTTAGATGGGTGTAAAAATGTAATCGTCTCTATTGGATTTTGATAAGAGAAATATTCTATCTTGATTCTGCTCTGCATGTATTATTTGGTGTTTCCTGTTTGAAACAGAGAACAGCCCATGTCTGGGAGAAACTGTGCAAAAGATCCAGGTGCAGTTATAGCACTTCCTTGACTGGAGATAGGTGCACCAGATCATCTGTGAACAGCAGGCATTTGACTTCAGTGTCTAAAAGAGGGATGCCAGGTGCTGCAGACTGTCCTTATGTCCTTGCCGACTCATTGATGTAAATGTTTTAAGAGCATTGGACTGAAGTGCATCCCTGTCTAACTTTGGGGGAAGAAGTCTGTGTGTTTTTGGTAAGCTTTACAGCAAACGTTTTTGCACATTCATATTATAAATTATAAATTATTAATTATAATTATGTTTTTCCTCCAATTCCACCTCCTAACAGTTTAAAAAGGAGACCCTCGAGCCAAATAGTATATTTGGTTTTGTTGGATTAGCACTAGTGACTTTGGGCTTTATTGTCATAAATAAATAACTACTGAATAACCATTTTCTTTAAGACAGGTTGTACAACATCTATTTTTTTCAAGCTTTTTTAGCGAAATTATCTATAGTAATGGGTAGGCATATAGGCTATAGTTTAAGTCTTGTTTCTGAAGATAAATCTGATATTTTGAGTTTAACAATAATTTGTTCCATCATTCTGATTTATTTCATTGTCAGGCCTTTATGCTTACATTTAAACCATGAGGACAACCCCCTTTTAATGTGTCTGCATCTGTTACATTTTACATCAGAAGTAAGTGGGGGGTAATGCCACTAAGTAAAAATAAGATAATCAACTCAATACTGTATCAATCATTGTTATTATATGAGATTAAACCTTTACTGATCCCCAACAGGCAAATTTAAAATAACATGTATAAGATACAGATCAGAGAGGGAGGTAGAAATTAAAATGTGTCTGCTATAATAGATTAAAAAAAAGAAAAATACTCTACATTTAAACTAAATGAATTGAATAAGCCTTGTGTCGTTATCTAGCATATCATTAAGCAGTTAAAGGCACGTGAACAGACTTTGACTCACACCTCACATTGTAGTAAAAAAAAAAAATCACGTTTTTGTTTTCTTACTTTCTGTTCATTCAAACCATTTCATTTGAAGACCAGATTACAATGTAAAAAATAAAACGTCTTCACATTAAAAAACAAACAAACATGCAGATAAAATCAGAAAACGCAACAATAAACTACTATGTGAGGGGGTTCTGTCAAAAGCCTATGCACGTGCCTTACCTTCTCAGCTTTAAGCTGCATGAGCAGAGCGCATATGCCGAGGCTTACGCCCACTCTCTGAAACCGGAAGCTGGTGCAGTATTTCGACGAACGAGTTAGCTGTATTTCCAGACATAGACGATCTTTGCACGGAAGAACTGGCCGGAGCTGGCACGTGTGGGCAGGGCGGTGCTCACCGTGACTCCTGCAGTCCCTCCTACTCCCCGTCACGTTGCCTTTTCTCGTTACAGATTGTGTTTGCTGAAAGCCAAAATATCGCTGGAGATTGGCTGGGACCGAGAGAATGTAGGTCAGGAGCTGCTTGTGCAAACATGAGCATCGTAAAATAGCCCAAATGTGTCTGAAACCGCAGTGTCCTCGCAGAACCGCTCAAAAGACCCCCTGTTGCTAGCAGGCACATGCCTTCAGAATTATATTGAGGTCACTAAACTATGGGGGTTGGGTGGGATGTTTTTATTCAAAACCTCTTCCTTATCCTCGATAGGTGAGCTGAATGAGACACTCCTCACTGCAGCCTCAACGTGTTGGGAATTAGGCTATGGGGTCACTGTGTGTTTGATAAAAAACTCGTCACCTGCTTTGGATTTCACTGTCACCTGCTAGGAGCTGTCATTTCCATTTACAACCAGGGATATCACACACACATATTTAAGTTATGTTAGTTAGCCTAATGTATTTTTACTATTATAATACCACAAATAGGTAATGTAAGAACGACTACATATATTAATACACATAATATCATGATTGTAGACACCGAGTCTCTGTATGCCCTGAGCAAACACAAGATTGGTAACATGTGACTTGCCATGACGTACACTTTTAACCTGATTGTCTTGCACAAGAGAGTAGGTTTGTCTTCATTGTACAATCAAAGTACGTCATTGATCATTTTTTCTTTATTAGGCCATACTACATAAACTGCCTTCTTTTATATTCTCTGCTGATACCTAAATCTCTCAGCAGCTGTAGCCTTCAATCTCAGGGACTCACCATGTACGTCATTCCACAAACTCGCTGCGTCTTTGGTGAAAGTGCGTTGAGTGTGTTTGTGCCATCATCATCATGGTCTGAGTTGCAAAGTCACCTTAAACTAGAGAATTAAGTTGGATTGGAAGATTTTAACACCAGGATGAAGGATCATTTGAACATTGAATGCACATGTTTCTCTTCTTACAGCTTCTGATTTGTTGATGGATGTAATATTATTTTATTGTCTGTTTTTGTTCTCCGTCTTAAACTTTTACGAGAGATCTTGTATCATAAGGAGAATATTTTCCTGCAAAAAAAGAAAGAAAAAGAAATGATTCCAGAGAATGATTGGGAAGTGGTTTCTATTAAAACCATTTTTTTGTAGAGTAGTCAATGATCAATTAATGATTAGTTTGTTCTGAAAAACTGATCCTGATCAGTTTTTCTCATAATTTCTTACTGAGGACGATATAGTTTACAGAACAGTAGATGGTATATCTCCTATAACATGAATCATTTTCTGATTAGTTTGTACAAATGTTGTTCATACCTAATTATAAAATGTGAGTTTTATCCCTTATTTGAATCATTTCGTCATGAAAATAATGAACAAAGCTTCTCTTACCTCAACAATAACCAATGCTTAAAAACAAGCAACACAATAACAGCCCACAGGACTGAGCAATGTTGTTTTTATTTAGCATTTTTGAAACCAAGTGGAAATGTTGAAAATAAAGATGAACTATGAGATTAAGGACCAGGTATGAAAACAAACAAAAAAAAACAAATACAGAGGAGGAGAATAAATTAAAAGTGTTGGGAACACACAGTGCACAAAAGAAAAGACGACCTGTCCTCTGTCTCTTGTATCATTTTGTCCAGCCATAATACTGCTGTGTACAACTCTAGATAAGGATGAATGGTTAAATTCTAAACAACTTATTTATCTCATCAAATGCAATAAATAGGCATCATCATACCATTTGTGTTCTCTTGTGACATTTGATTTCTGACCTCTGGCATTCAACTTTAAATGGTGGGCATATGACTGATTTAAAAGTGAATTCAATTAGTTTTCTGATGCACGTGCCAGAGGTCACGGTGTAACATTACCTCCAAGGAACTTTCATATTCACAACCAGAAGTGGTGGGACTAACT